AATTTCTTGTGCTTAATGAACTAAATTTTATTTATTTATTTTTGTTCAACACTTTTGAATATTTAATTTTTTTCTCAATTACATGTAAAAATAATTTTTAACATTCAATTTTTAAAAAATTTTGAGTTTCAAATTCCCTCCCTCCCTTCCCTTGCCCTCCCTGAGACAATAAACAATTAGGTTATACATGTGCAATCATGCAAAACATATTTCCATATTAGTCATGTTGTAAAAGAAAACACAGACCAAAAGAAAAACCATGAAAAAAATAAAGTGAAAAATTGTGTGCTTCAATCGGCATTCATACTCCATCAGTTCTTTCTCTGGAAGTAGATAGCATTTTTTAACCATGAGTCCTTTGGAAATGTCTTGCTGAGAACAGCTAAGCATTCACAATTGATCATTGTACAATGTTGCTGTTACTGTGTACAATGTACTCCTGGTTCTGCTCACTACACTTTGCATCAGTTCATCTAAATCTTTCCAGGTTTTTTTGAAATCACCCTGCTCATAATTTCTTAAAGCACAATGGTATTCCATTATAATTATATACTATAACTTGTTCCCTAGTTAATGGACATTAAAGGACATTAATTAATTCCCTAATTAATGGACATTCCCCTAATTTCCAATTCATTGCCACCACAAAAAGAGCTGCTATAAATATTTTGGTACAAATAGGTCCTTTCTGCCTTTTCTTAAAAAAACAATTAGAGTTATTGCTGGATCAAAAGGCATACACAGTTTTATAGCCCTTTGGACATAGTAATAATGAATTAAATTTTGAAAGTTCAGTTCTAGCCGTTTGGGCTAGTTTGCAGTGTAACCAAATTATTTTCTTCTCCTTTAAGAGGCAAGCAAGAAAAGGGTCCCTTTTAAATGCAAAGTGAAAACATAGTTTATGGTTCTTTTTTCCATCATTTGTACTAAGCAGGAAGTCCACGGATAATTGTACAATTTCTTTGCAACAGAAATTCGAAGTTCTTAGATGAGGACACTTAGTTTCCTTGAAGGTATTTTTATTCTTCATGGTCCCCAATTCCAGCGTGAACCATGGAGGGCTTCAAGTCAGTGATGTTAACAGTAAAATGACCTTATAATTTAGGTCATAGATCACAGAATCACAGATGTAGAGCAGGAAGAAAATTCAGGGTTTAAGTCCAGTCCACTCATTTTACAGATGAGAAAACTGAGGCAAATGGGGTTTAGTCACTTGCATAGGGTCACAAAGGCTAGCAAGAGTTTGAGGCTGGATTTGAACTCAGGTCTTCCCGACTCTAGGCCTGGCACTCTATTTACTGCGCCATCTACACAGCCATTATTTTGTTTGTATTTTCCAGATTAAAAACAACAAGCATACATTTGTTAATGTTTTTCATTTTTTTCTAGTCTTTTTTTAAGTTTAGCAGGCCTTTAAAAAATAAACAAATTCCGAACCTCCACACTCACAGCTCATAGTTCTACTCCCCGCAGCGTGAAAATTTGTTCCAGTCATTACCCCATTTTACATAATGGGTAAATGCCATTACCAGGCACCATTCTGAAAAGGCTACTTATGGTTCCTACTGGAATAAAACAACAACAGATCTTTTAAATAGCATACCTGTGATACATACACTTGTATGGGGAGTCAGCTAACGTTATTGTGCAACAGTGATTGGACTCATTCCACAGACTATACAAAATGTATCACATTGTTGCTCACAATAGACTTACAGGGTTCTAAGGTGTGTTGGTGAAGCAAACAAAAAACCTATATTCAAGTCACGTATGAGCGAGCTATGGACCAGAGGCAGCGATGTGATATGGCAGTGTGAGAGTTGGAGTCGAGAAGGGCTGAATTCAAATCCCACCTTAGACGTTTACACTCTGTATGACCAAGCAAGGTCACTTAACCTCTGTGAGCCTCAGTTTCCTCATCTGTAAAATGAGGATAATAACACCTCTCTCAGAGGCTTGTTGTGAGATAGCATAGGTAAAGTGCTTTGCAAACTTAAAGGTCTAAATAAATGCCAGCTATTATTTTGTAGAAGTATCCTAGAATGACCTGTTGGTAACTGGATGGATTTTGTGGTTCCAATAAGAATAAGAATAATAGCAATAATCCTATTAATAACTAACATTTATGTAATCCTTTACTGTTAACAAAGCCCTTTAGAGGCATTACCCCTTGCCTATTGCACATATACCTTACCAAATGCCAACCCTGGAGTGCCCCATTCTCTCCTCTTTCGTTCCAGTCTCTGACAAAGAAGAAACAGAGGGGATGACTCCTCTACTTGTGCTCTTAATCCCACCCATCTCCAGAGACTTGTGCCTTTCCTCATGCCCATCCTCTAGTTTTGGTTTAACACACTAGTTCCCTTTGTGGGCTGATCTCACTTAATGCTAGTGCCTTCCTCTCTTGGTTATCTCTAATTTATCTTGTCTACACCTTGCTTGTATGTAGTTGTTCACATGTTGCCTACCATTAGACTGTGAACCCCTTGAGACAATGGACTGTCTTTTGCCTGTCTTTGAATCCCCGGTGCTTAGCACAGGGCTTGGCACATGTTAAGTGAGTAAAAAAATGCTTGTTGACTGATGCTCACTAATTTTTTGTCTCCAAATCAGCTGCATACACTGCCCGTGAATAAAACAAAACAAAATATTAGATAGCTTCACATTACCTCCCCTTAAGCTGCTATCCTCTTCCCTTTCACAGGTAAGCTCCTAGAAAAATCTGTCTTCACTCATTTCCTTCATTTCTGTAGCTGCTATTTCTACAGTTATCAACAATCTTTTAATGGACAAATCTGAAGGCCTTGTCTCAATCCTCATTCCTTTCACCTGGCTGCAACATTTGACATGACTGATCACCTTCTCCCGGATTCTCTTTCCTTTCTCATTTTTCATGTCACTGTTGTCTCCTAATTCTCCCTCTTTCTCTGGCTGCTCCTCAGTATCCCTTGCTGTATCATCATCCATGGCTTGCCCACTTTGTATGGGTATACATCAGGTAATGAATTAGGCCTTTTTCTCCTTTCTTTTCTCTCTTCATTCCATCTTGTAGTGCTCTCTCTTTCATCAGCTATCATGGGATTCAACGATCATCTCTATGCAGATGATTTTCACATATATACATATGTGTATATATATATTACATATACACACACTATGTATATGTATGCATATGCACAAAAAATATGTGCATATACATATAATATTTCTATATACATATGTGCATACTCACACACATGCACACACATGTGTGTATATATGTATACATATGTATATATGCACATATACATACATACACACACATATGTGTAAAATCTCTCCTGAGCTTCAATCCAATATCATCAAAAGCCCTTGTCTTTTCCTCATTTCCCTCTTTCTGGTCAACTAGGTTTGTAACCTGGTAATGATCCTCAAATTCCCTCTTCTTTACTCCTCATATCCAGTCAAATAGCAAGTTTTGCTTATTTTATTCCACAGCATCAAACCTTCATCCACTCTCACCCGGATTACTACAATTTATTCCTGGTTGTTCTTCTTGTTTCCTGTGTCTCTCCTCTCTCTAAACCAGTCCTCCTATCTCCCCTCTCTAACCTAATCCTCCACGTAGCTGCAAAATGATATTCCTTTTTAAAGCACAGGTCTGGCACACAGCACTTTCCTGTTTAAGAACTTCCAGTTGCCTTTAGTATAAAATACACACTTCTCTTTTTTGGCATAAAGACCTTCACAGTGTGTCTCCAGGCTTACTGCACGTTTGGCTATTTCAGCAATACAAAGTATGGTAAGGTAAATCATTCTCCAAGTGTGGTCCATAGACCCCTGAGAGTTCCTGAGATCTTTCTAGAGGGTCCACAACATCAAAATTCTTTTCATAATAATACTAAGAAGTTACTTGGCTATTAAAATACTCTTCCCTTTCCCAACTACATGTCTGTGTGGGGCAGATTTTCTTCATATACTTCAACCAAAACAACATAACACAACAGATGAGTGTATATACAAATATGAGAATCCAGCTGTCTTCTATTAAGCCAGACATTACAGAGATTTTTTAAAAAAATATGTAAAACAATGCCACTCTTCTCACTAATTGTTTTTTGCTTTGGAAAATATTATTTTTCATTGAAATTTGTTATTTATATTAATACATAATGGGGTTATTATTTTAAATGAATTAATAAATATTTTTAAATGATCAGTTTTAATTTTTCATAAAATAAATATTCATGATTATAACTCAATAAACAAGAGCTCTTTGGGCATAAAGGAATCTTGAGGCCAAAATACTTGAGAAGTGCCAGTCCTACTTCATGTACTCTACATTTAAATCAAAGTTGTCTTTTTTAATGTTTCCCTACCTACAACATTCCATCTCTCTTCCCCTTGTTTTTGCCTGAGCTATCTCCCATGCCTAGAATATACTTCCTCCTCCTCTTTTAAAAATTTTTTTTCTCGATAACATTTTTTTTTCACATCAAAAACATTTAAAGATTACTCCCACTTTGTGAGAAATCTCTTGTAACAAAGTAAAAGCTAATAATCCAGTGACCTCATCTAAAAGCGCATGCAATATTTCACATCCTTATCCCTACCCCCATGAAAAAAAAAAAACAACTAAGGAGAAATTTATTTTCTCTCCCTCCCACTTCCATCCCATTGGGAAAAAATAAGAAGAATAAATTACTTATAACAAATATGCATAGTGAAGCAAAACAAATTCCCTTGATATCTGTATACAAAAATATGTCTCATTCTGCATCCTAAATCTGTTACATCTCCAACTCATAAAATCATTAGCTTCCTTCAAGGATTAATTCAAATGTCACCTCTTACACAAGGCATATTCTGAACTCTCTGAGTTCTCCCTTCAGATATTATATTTATATGCTTTGAATTTATTATCCATGCTTGTGCTGTTCCCCTCAAAAAAAAAAGATACTCTTGAGGGCAGGGACTGTATTGTTTTTATCTTTTTATTTCTGTGCCTGGCACAGTGACTGGTCCATTTGGGTGCTTAATAAATGATTATTCAACTAACGAATGAATGAATGATCTCACTTGGTCCTCACAACAACTAGAGAAATTTGTATTGTAGGTATTGCTATCCCCATTCTATAGATGAAGAAACTGAGGTCTGGAGAGGTTAATCTCCTGTACATGGTCCAATAGCTAGAAAGTGTCAGAGGTAGAATTCAAAACTAAGTCTCTCTGAACACTCCAGGACTCTTCCTACTACACTAATTATCTTTCAGTAGCTGCAACAGACCTTCAGAATGATTATGTCACCCACTTGAGAAAGGCTAAGCATTGAAAGGAAAGGAAAGGTGGTAGAATACATTGAGTGAGGAAGTGCTTAGCTGAGCCTTTACTGACCACAGGCAGCAGGGCAGAAGGCTTCTTCCTGGGGCTGCCTCCCTCCCTTTCCTCCTTCTCTTCATTTGGACCACAAGGATGTGAAACCAGTAACCTTGACATCAACAATCTCTGTAACCCTGATTACTAACGGTGGAGTTAAGCAATGCATATCATTGCTATTAGACCAATTACTGTAACAAAGTCTGTAAGAGGAAAGTAAAGGTACAGAGCAAGGGCTTAATTTTTTAAGAATTAGTGAAATATCACATGTGTAGTGTACACTGAATAGAGCGGACCACTGGTGCATCAGAATACGTCATCAGGAGTGTTGTAGTGCACATCAGACTCCACAACCCCAAAGGCTTCGTAACTTTGATTTATTTTACTTGAAGCCATATTGCCTTTCCCAATGCTTTTTTTCCTTTTCACTTGCCTTCCTGTTTCCATGGCAGAGGGATGAAACACAGAAGAGCCTGTAGCATCAAATCCTTTGGCAAATGGAGGGTCATCCTCACTCAGTTTTGCTGTGCTTGAAGGGACAATTGGTGGCAAAGGCCTCTCACTTCTCAGCCTGTTTTTCATTTCTTCACCTTTAACCTGCAGAACAGTGTTGAAGGTAGGACAGATGAGTGAATAGTTCCTTCTAGAGTCTCAGCATGTTGCCCTACCTACCCCCGATTAACATTATACTCTGGAATGTGGTAAAGAAAACTGATACAAAGTGTTACATTTGGTGCTTGACATTACCATTTTAGGAAATGACAAACTAAAGAAATGAAAAAGCAAAAAAAAGATGGGTTGGTCATATGGAAAGAGCAAGGGGATAACCATTGGACAGCCTATAGGCTCCTTTGGCATCTTTACAACATCAAGACAAAGTGAGGAAGGCCCCTAGCATGTTCAGTGGACTACCTGTGACAAACTCATAGGAAGACCACAGACAAGAGTCATCCAAAAATGGACAGCTATGGATGGATGGGTCACAGCCTACATCAGTGGAGATCTAATAGAGGAACACCTATATGAGATCACAGATCCATTTGAGTTTTTGAGATGACAAAAAGGAGAATGTCCAGAAGAGCATGATCAGATTGGTGTAGAGGCTAGAGACCATTACATAAAATCTTTTGAAAGTTCTGGAGATTAGCCTGCAAAAAAGACAATATATGGGGCACATAGTGCCTTTGATATCTGAAGGGCTACAATGTAGAAGGTGAATTATTCTTTTTCTGCTTGATCTCTGACAGCAAACTAGCAGTAGGTACAAGCTATAGATAGAAAGATTTCAACTACATATCAGAAAAACTTTCTAACAATAAATTGTAAAATGGTGGAATAGGCTGCCTTAGGAAGTAATGACCATGTGCTTGGAATGCAAGAATGTATTCCTTGGTCAAACAGAGGTTAGATTAAGTAATCTCTGAGGCCTCTCCCAATTTTGAGATTTTGTGAGATACCCCCAGGACAAAATTTGTTTGGTTGCTATTTCTGCTAAGACCTTTTAAAAACTGCTTTTCTTCAGTAGAAATAGTGGTGGGAGTCAGACAAAGTCCTTGAGTGTGGTAGATTAGGGTTCTTCCATGTTATGGCTCAATGGCTGACTATATCACTTCACTTTTCTGGCCTCAGTTTCCTCATCTGTAAAATCAGTGGAGTGTACTGGATCTCTAAGGTCCTTCCCACCAATAAAATTCTGAGGTTCTGAAAATGCAATGATGGCACTGCTTGACCAAAAGCACTTCTAAAACCATGGCCTTGAGAGAGGCATCAAAGGTCAGCTAATTCATTACCATTATCCTCTCTCCAAGCTGAACTGTCCTTGAGTTTTTCCAGTACAATAGACACTCTATGCATTTCTGCAAAAATCTCTGGATGGGGAGACTCCACAACCTCTTTCATTATAAAGGAAAGATTTTTGTTGAATTTTAAGTTTTTTGTCATACAAATTCAACCTGTTACCATTATTCATTCAACTTTTCAGAGAATCAGAGATATGGAGCTGGGAAAGATCTTAAAGGCCATCTGATCTACCCTTCTCATTCTAGAAATGGGGAAACTGAAGCTTATAGAGATTAATTGACTTGCTCAGGGTCCTACAGATAGTGTTAGAGGCAGGATTTGAACCCAGGTGCCCCAGACATCAAGTCTATTACTCTAGCTACTATTTCATACTCCCTCTCCAAGGAGAGGGACCAAGTTCAGATAGAAATAGTCCTGGAACAAATCACTATCCTTCTGCTATTATTTTGTATTTAATGTTCCATGGACTATTTTTGCAAAGTTGGATAAAATAACTGTTTTTGTAATGGAACATTGAGATGTAAGCTCATCTTCTGTAGGCTCCCTGAAGGCATCCTTGGGATAACTCCTATAGCAGGCAGGATGCCAGAGATGAAAGGTACCTCATCCTGTTCCCACAGCATTTTAATGTTCATTGCTAGTTCTCTATATTTTTAAAGCTTTTCCTTACATGTAGTTTGGAGATTATGAGCCTTTGGCATGGCAGCACCAATTAAAAACATTATAGATCATTTTTATGTCCAGGCAATCCTGGGCATCATTTTGGTCTTTGATAATGCTTCACTTTCAGTACAGTTTATTTGTAGAACTCAGAAAGGTATTCTGAGGTTTACATTTGTATTAGGGGAATTCCTCGTCTGTCAGTTTATGAAAGATGGCAAGTTTATTATTGTAATTCTTTATTATCATTATCAACATCATCATTCTCACTACATTGTTATTTTAATTATTCCAAGCTTGATCCTATTCAAGACAATCTTCCTAATCCGCCCTTCTTCTCTTCCTTCTCTTCCTCCTCCTCTAATAGCTAAAGGGCCTTCTTTCTTGTTCATTTTTAGCTTGGTAAATTGTTGCTCAAGTTATAATATATCTTAAAGAACTTGAAGACTTAGGTCCAAGGTAAATAGACGATATTCCTCATAACTAAAATTTTACTTATTTTTGTTTTTCTCTTTTCTTTGTTTTTGCCAGCTGTTTATTCTTCAAGCAACCCGAAAGTTTCTAGGGGCAAGGGAGAATAGAGAAAGGGGACATTCCTGATGGGACAAATTCATCTCCTATGGCAGTTCTCAAACTTTTTGGTCTCAAAGGGGTCCCCCTTTATGCTCTTGAAAATTATTGAGGACCCCAAAGAACTTCTGTTTATATAGGTTATATCTATTGATATCTACCATATTAGAAATTAAAATGTCTTAGTATTATTATGAAAATAGTTTTAACCTTGAAAACCTCCTGAAATGGTCTCAGGGACCCCCAGGGGTCCCTAGACTTCACTTTGAGAACCTCTATCCTGTTATAACTGGCCTGATGTCTCAGAAATCAGCGTAATGTGTCCAGGCATAAAAGCCTCAGGAAGATGTCCCTCTTGAATCACAACTAGAGCTCCAAATGTCTGATTTGAATCTAGCAGATATGAGTATATAGCCTGTGTCAATGAAAGTCAGATGACGACTAACTCAATAATCCTTCCACTTATGAATTCTGGTATCATAAAAGCTTGTGCTCCTTCTCCAATTCTAGTCTCCTAATTAAAATTCACAGCACTGAGATTTCCCTCTTAGTACTTCCATATAAAGAAAATTCTACTTTTTTTTTTGGAGAGGAGAATGGAGGAAAGTGGCATCTTCCTTAAGCTGCATAGATGGCATAATTTTTTCCCCTTAGTCTCCAGGGGTAGGGAACCAGTGGCCTCGAGGCCACACGTGGCCCTCTAGGTTCTGAAGTGTGGCCCTTTGACTGAATTCAAACTTCATGAATGTCATGACATCATGAGCAAATTCATAACGGTCTTGGGAGAGGTTTCTTCCTGAGATTCCTGGATGTATATTCTTTTCATGCTTTAGGGCAGCTCTTGGATCAAATGGGAGGAAAGGGATCCCTCTTTGTGAACTTTGTGAAGTTTGGATTCAGTCAAAGGGCCACACTTGACCTAGAGGGCCACATGTGACTTCGAGGCCACAGATTTCCCACCCCTGTACCCATAATTGTATTGTTGGAAGGAAGTTCTGTTGAGGAAATTCCTTGCAGTAATGCAGATCAGAGCTGATGGCAACAATTTATAGTCCACAGCCTGGGACATTGAGTGGTCTGGCAGAAGAGGGTTTTGGACCCAGATGTTCCTGACTCCAAGGTCAATTTTCTGCCTCCTACTCCACACTACTTCTCTCAGGCAAAACTAATACCATCAACTTAAAATTACTTTATGCTATTCCTAGGTTAAAACACAAGTTAAGAAAAGAAAGGTGAAATCTATTAAAACACAAGCATTCTTATAATATTCCATCCAAACTGGGGGATCTGTCTCAAAAGGACAAAGTCCTGCCAGAAAAGTTTGAAAAGGACTGAGTTTAGTGCACAGATCCTCACTCAGTGGACCTGTGGTACATGTGAGAGTGAAGTTACCTTCCTTCTTTCATCTGCTGCCTTCATCTTCTCTTCTATATTTTTTATTGTGAACCCATTTGTTTCCCTTTTGGTGTTAAGTTTCTCCAGTCTGGCAGGTGGCTTCCTGAGAGGCTTCTCATTTGTGCTTACCTGGAGAAAGACAGTTTTCAAAATGAAAAAAAAAAAAGGAAAGGAAAAAAAACCACATGCTTGGGTAGCAGGGTAAGAGAGGGGAGGTGGCAGGCAGGCACCCAAGCTTTGTCCTGCTTTATTCTTGAGGAAGCCAAAAACCTTTTGAAAAGCTAAGACTATTTAATAGTACCAGCTTAAGAACTGAACGTTGCCAACGGCTGAAAGTCCTAAAGAGGAGGTTGGAGAAAACTCACACTTTCTAGAGTATTAAAAATCACAAACTATGTGTGAAAGAAAAAAAAATGTGGCAAGAAGGCAAAGCTTTTTGGAAACTAGATTGAAAAGAATATGAAGTAGAAAGGATTCCTGAGAATAAGCAGAAGATGGAAAAATGAGGTGAGTTAGCAATTGATTTATGTTGTTGTTCAGCCATGTCTAACTTTTTGTGACCCCATTTGAGGTTTTCTTGGCAAAGATACTGGAGTAATTTGCCATTTCCTTCTCCAGCTCATTTTATATTTGAGGAACTGGCAACAGGTGACTTAAATGACTTACCCATGGTCACACAGCTAGTAAGAGTTTGAGGCTAGCTTTGAACTCATATCTTCCTGATTTGAGGCTCAGCGCTCGATCCATTGCACCACAGGTACACTTGACCTCAATCAAGAACACCTTAGGTGTTGAAATTAGTTTTGACTCATGTGTTGATGTGTCTAACATGCACTGTTGCTCTCACAGACAACCAGGGCAGATACTAACGCTTGCACATTCCCCATAGGGGCTTTCCGTGTGGTCATTGGTACCTCTTCCTGCAATAGCCCTTATGGTCTTGGAGAAGATTTCCTGAAGTAGGTCTTTGGATGTCAAAGTCTGGTCAGTCTCTGGATAGATTTCTATAGCTTTGTCTCTTGAGTCATTGCTGGAACAGGAGTTAGACTCTCAGACCACGATTACTTGACTTGCGGGAAAGCAGTGTGTTGCATCTCGGTTTTTCTGGACTAGTATTTCCCTATATAACCAGTTGTCTAACCTTAGCTACATCCTTTCTTCTTACTTGGTACCCTCTTCTTCCTGCTCTGCACCTTCTCTAGAAGCCCCCATGTATCTGGAATTTTCCTTTTGAAGCTAGATATGTCTAGTTTCCTAGATGACTGACATTCCCATGCAACCTCAAGGACGGGAAACTAATCAGACCCACCTGAGAGGGATCCCTTTCCTCCCCTTTGATCCAAGAGCTTCCCTAAAGCATGGAAAGAATTACATCCATGAATCTCAGGAAGAAATTTCTCCCAAGACCATTATGGATTTGCCCATGATACTATGACCTTTTAACTATGGCTCCCTGCAGATACCACAGCTTGTGTCCCTTCTATCTCCTTCCCAGTTTCACATTGGAGAAATCCTGACATCCATGTTAGGAGGCAATGGGCTTGGAAGTGTCTTGTTCTAGCTTGGAGAAAATCATGGAACTTGGAATATCAGTTTCATTCAGTGAAAATGTTGACTACAAGCACAATGCTAAAAATCACAACTATTATACTGTATTTACTAAGAAGGGGAAGAGCAAAATTCAAAAGAAAGGCATGAGAGCCAAGAGCCTTGGATTCTAGGGGTGGCTCTGACACATAATGTGTGATCTTGAGCAAATCTTCCTAACTTTCCTGGGCCTTAGTTTCATAATTTTTTATTGTTGTTGTTTGTCCTTCATTCTCAAAGAGTACCATGGCATCATGGAGGTGATGCCATGACATGCAAGTGAATTGGATTTAAGTAAGGGAGGGCTATGCAAAGTCACCAGCCTCACTTTCTCCACTGGAGCCATCTGGGTCCAGAGGCCTGATATAGATCAGGACAAGTGGAGATGGCCCAGGCTGCAGTGGGGGACCTTGGCCTTTTCAAACCAAGGTCTTTAACAGTCTCAGGTGGACTGAGGCAAAGCCCATTCAGTGATTAAGACTTAATAAGAAATGAGCCTTTTTTGACTAGGTAAAGAGGCTGTTCTTTGCCTCATTTCTTAGTTTCTTAAGTGCTTGAATTAAATGCTCTCTTAGATCTCTTCAAAATTTCCATAAAATTTTATGATTCTGTGCAGGTTGCTTTATTTTTTAAGAAAGGAGAAAAAAATCTATTTGCTTTTTGGCTCAGTTGCAACTATTGGAGAGTTCATGTGGTGAGAATTTCTTCACCACATATAGATCGCGGGATGTGTTTGACAAACCAGGGTGTTTGTTGTTGTTGTTGTCGTGCTTGTGGTTGTTGTTTTTCTTCTTTTCTTTCTTTTTAATGACGATTGGCACTTGGGCCTCCTGCTGGTGAAAGACATCTGCTGAAAAAGAAACTACTTGTTACTCTAACAATTGTTGGGGCCCAGAGATATTACAATCAGTATTAGTTAAGTCTAATGACCTGAAATTCTTCAATAGCGAAAACTAAAAGGAAATTAAATTTGTAATTTCACATAACAAAACCCCTAAAAAGAAGACACAGTTGGACTCTAGGATTTTGGGTGGTTTTAATTTAGCAATGTGAATCTGGAAGGGGGTAGGGAAAGTGTGCTTTGAATGAAAATTGGACTTTTCTACCTCGTTGAATATTAGAATTTGGTTCCACTCTGATGGATCTGAGATTTCATTCCATCCATAGCTCATTTTTTTTTCTAAATAGAGAGAGGCTCTCCCACCACCTCTATCTTGAGCTTACCTTTTAAAAGTCATATGTGGGATGCTGGCTTTTCTTTTTTCTGTATGCACGCTATGCTAGTCTTTGTTTTAATAGAACAACACACACTGGTTTGGGAGTCTGAGATCCTGGGTTCATGCCTTACCTCTACTACTTACTACCTGTGTGAACTTGTACAAAACAGATCTCATCTCCCTGGGTCTCGTTTTCCTCTTCTATAAAATGAGGGTTTGGACTAGATGATCTCAGGGGTCCTTTCTACCTCTAAATCTCTGATTCTATGTTGGCATCTCAAAAGAATAACAAAAATTTAAAAAAAAACTGGCTGTCACCAATCTAAATATTTTTTAAAATCGCTTTCAAAAACATAACCAATTTGTTATTAGGGACCATTTCATTTTTGTTTTCCTATCACTTGTACCTTGCATAGTATCTGCATTAGTAGGTGTTTAATAAACACCTCTTGATTGATTAATTGATCAGTTTTCAAGTCTAATAGTCTGACATCCTAGAAAAACATTTACTTCTTACTTGTCTAATCAACTGAATTTCTACATACCACTTCCTGAATCATCTAGGTATTTCTCAGAGGTCTCCTAATTAGCTATTGACCTAAGTCTGAACCTACCTTGATTCAAGTCCTAACAGGAACCCTATGCACCAAATGGCAGTGGGCCAGAGCTTCTCTTGAGATGTTTGTAAATCTTGTTCCACTTCTCAAACCTTCTTGGGAAGGTCACTGGGTTTTTGCTGGTATTATTTTGGATTCAGTCAAACTTCCTCCATCTTAGAGATCTCCCCATGAAGTTCAATAAAGACTATCAGACAGGTTGGTACAAGGTCACTAAATTCAGTCATGTTTATGACAGTTTCACTTACTTTGAGAGGGACTAATATTTTGTCCTTTTCTCCTCTCCCCCCCACCCCAAGTCATATCAGGAAGTTGACTTTCAATTATCCACACTAATAAAAAAGATCAGTGATATAAAAGATCCAGAAAGTCATTGATATTTACCTTGACATTTCTAACAGGGAGAGATGGAGTGGCATGGTGGATAGAGAACTGCCTTTAGACTTTGGAAGACTTGGATTTGAGATCTGCCTCTGGAACATATTGGGTATATTATAATGGACAGGTCACAACCTCTCAGGGCCCTCAGCTCTCTAAAAATCTAAGTTACGTTAAGTTACATGTCTGCCTCAGAGGGAGTTTCCTTCCATTCAAGGAATTCCCCACACTAAAGAAATCACAAATCTGGACCAACATTTTTTAAATTAATTTTAATAAAAATAAAATAATATGCATTTATTTCTCAGTTTACCTTATAATTATGTTTTTATTAACTTAATATTCTTATTGATTTTCATTGATTAAGCCAGTTTTAACTGATGAAAGGGATCATAAGGGTAAGTGACCTCATTGTATGCTAGGTGGCAAGGGGAAATTCAGGAATAAAATATTTGTCATAAATGGGGAGAGGGATTGCACATGTATATAACTGAGAGTCACACTCATCTTTCTCTCTAAGTATATCTAGTTGTACCCAAGCTTCTATCTTGACATATATTTTGACGTTTTAGATGTCCATAGAAATGTCTTCAAGATGCTTTAAAGTTGCTGGCAGGTCCATTTAGCATATTTTATATTTAGTTATACTGCATTTTTCATCTAGCATTTTGTGCTCCATCTTCAGAGTAATCCTTGGGGGGTGTGTGTGTGTGTGTGTGTGTGTGTGTGTGTGTGTATGTGTGTGTGCGCGTGTGTGTGTGTGTGTGTGTGTGAGAGAGAGAGAGAGAGAGAGAGAGAGAGAGAGAGACAGAGAGACACAGAGAGAGAGAGAGAGAGACAGACAGACAGACAGACAGAAGGGGAAGAAGGGAGAGGGAGAGAAGGGGGAGAGAAGGGAGGGATGGGGGAAGCTTACAAGTTGCTTATCCAGCAGGCACAGTGGAATTCCTTCAGTACTTATGCACAAGCAAATAATCAAAGTGAAAAACAGACAAAAGGGATTCCCTGTGGTGGGCACAGATGCTCCACAGCCCGCCTGAGAACGGCTGCACTCAGGGGATTCTCCCAATTCGGAGGATAGCTGAAGCTCTTTTATCTGCTCACTCTAACTGTCCTTAGACATAGATGACAAATGGGGCCTAAAGATAATGACTCTGGCTGGTGAGGGACAGATCTTCACAGTATAACAATGTTACCATATAAGTAGTATAAGCACCATTTCTTAAAACCCTTTCTTATTTATTTTCCCATTTACGATCATGTTATTTTATTCAAAAACACTTTTCTCACTTGGTAATTAAGAAAGATCTTAAAAAAAAAACACTGAAAGCTACTTCTGCCGTAATTTATTTTTCCATTTCTGTCTTGCTAATCTGATTCTATTAATTTTAATACTGTATTTCAATAATTGCTACATTCATCTTCTCTTTCACCCTTTATTTTCTTTTCACTTGCTCTGAGTGAGATTTTCCTTTCTTTCTATTTAATGCCCTTGAAACCATATTCAGTCCTCTCTTTAAAGAAACAAAAAACACTTATTCTCTGAGAGGCATTATGGAAAACTGGATAGAGAGCTAGCCTTGGAGTCAGGAAGACCCGGGTTCAAGTCTTCTGATGTATCTTAGATTTGTGACTATGATTAAGTCACTTACCCTCTTACCATAACAAGCAATTCTCTCGGCTAACAAGTTGCTAGCAGGAAGAATTGTAAGAAATTTTCGTATTGGAGGTTCTCATATCAATACAACAACATTCACTGTTCAGGAGATATAAAAGTTCAGGAAAAACACAAAAACAATGCAAAACAAATTACTCCAAAAAACTAAAGTTATTACACGATGTTTCAGTTTTCAACATTGATGATCTAGACTTCTAACTCATCCTTGCCTTTTTATATAGACATCATAACTTTCCTTTAGAAGGAATGTTAATGCAGTAATAAGCTTTAATAGGTTACATATCTACTTTAAAGAGCGTAAAACTGCCCTAAGACTTTTGGGACACACTTTATATGTGAGATACTAGACATCTAGCATTCCTATATTCTCTCCTAGGTATATCAAGAAAGCTCTTGCTATTTGTTGGTCATTGAGCAATATTCCATTTAGGTAAGGTGTGTAGCATAATGGATAGAGAGTTGATCTCAGAGACAGGGAGACATAGGCTCAAATTCTTCTGCGAGACTCTGGACAAGTCACTCAACCCTGTCTCGGTGCCCTAGCTAATGTTCTAAGACTTTAGCTGCAGAGAAAGTAGATTAGTGGAGGGAATTTTCTCATCTAAGCCCTCCTAATACCAATGAAATCACAGGTCCAGTCCTTAATCACCTCCATCCATTTAGATACTTTTCCCAGGGACCATCCTGTCCTCCTAATCATCAGACTTCATATTTCAGTTAATGCTGGATTATACTGTTGACACTTTATTTTTATTTTTATTATTTTTACCATCCATTGAATTGGGGGCTAGGGAGGGTTGATGGTAGCAGGATTTCCGGGAACATAATGACCCGCTAAGCCTGGTGTGTTTCCATCCTGCCTCATGCCAGGTTTATCCTGGGTCACTCTGGCACTCCATTACAGTTCCTGATTGCTATTTTATTTGTGCTCTGCTCTGCCAGTCTGGCCTCACATTTATATCCCTCTGACAACGTTTTAGCTATGTCTCTAGCAACCATTCTATTTCTAAATAATATGTAAACAGTCTTTATCCTTGGCTGACTTAATGGTATTGCGACAAAGTCAAGCCAGAAATTCTTTTATTTATTTTTTCCTTACAGATATATTTCTTCCACAATCCATCACATATTAATCTTATCCCCACCCTTACTAAGCTTACAATACACTTTCATCTTTGACATCTGAATCATAGAAAAATATCTTAATGTCATCCCCCCCCCGACTTCATAATCAAGATTCCCATGATTTCCCCTAGGTGGGCATTTGTTAATTCTAGTCATTTGTCAGCATTAGTCGACCTACCACTTTTTCTCAGAAACTGCACAGTGAGTGGTCTTCTTTCCTTTGCTGGCCTTCCTTTTCTGTTCTGAGACACTCACCAGTACCAAAAGCATGCTTCCTCTTCCTGCCCCTGCTGTAAGTACTTTCCTCTTCTTGACGTAGTACTGCACATAGTAGGTGCTTAATAAAGAGTTGCTCAATGAAGGAAGTCAATTCTCCCCTGCCACATGTCTCATTACACTACATTCTTTTTTCACATCACATTCCCTTCCTACTCCAAGTCTGCTGATGACACTTAGTAGGTTTTCTAAAATCTGATTCCTGCCCCTTGTAGGACATGCTGTGGCTGCTGCTCCTCTTCCAGCTGACAGCAGGATGGAGAGGATAGAGCCTGCTTCAGGTAAATAGAAACAAGGCATTTCACCATTCTGAGCCTTGGGCTCCACTTCTTTAAAATGGGCATGATAGTAAGGCATACCTCACGCAGCTGTTGTTAGCCTCAGATGACACTGGAGATGAAAATCACTTTGCAAACCTGAAAGAGATCTCTAAACATGAGCTACTTATTATTAGGATCCCCAGCCCTTCTACCTTTTCTCTATGCTCCTTACATTTCCTTTCTTTTCTCTAGGCCCTTTCTTCTGGAGCTCATTCCTTTCCTTTCCTTCATAGCAAAAGCTGCCTTAAGGGGCAGCTAGATGTATGTCACAATGGATAAAGCACTGGCCCTAGACTCAGGAGGACCTGGGTTCAAATATGACCTCAGACATCTACTAGTTGTGTGACTCTGGGCAAGTCACATAACCCTGTTGCCTCAGTTTCCTCATCTGTAACCTTAGCTGGAGAAGGAAATGGCAAGCCACTCTAGCATCTTTGCCAAGAAAACCCCAAATGGGTTCAGGGAGAGTTGGATTATCCCCTTCCCCCCAAAAAAAGCTACCTGAAGTAAATGGAAGATGTCAAGGTGAGGGCATTGCCTTGAGGCAAGATTGGAAAGAGGTTAAGCACCATCACAAGGCCATACAAAATGAATTTTCTGATTTCTGAACCCAGTGCTTGCTTTGTCTATTATTATTATTGTTATTATCATGAAAATACTGAGAGACATTGCAGCAGAGGGGGAAAGTGCTTTAGACTAGGTGCCAAAACATCTGAGTTCAAGTTTTAACTGCCCTATACAGGGTGTCCCAAAAGTCTTAGTGCAGATGTAAGTTTTAATAGCTTAAGTGCTTTCATAGCTTTCAACTGCACCAAGACTTTTGGGACACCCTGTATTAGCTTATGAGCAAATCATTTAATCCCAATTCCTCTTTAAAATAGAGATGACAGTAGTTTTTGTACCTATTTCACAGTTTGTTTGTTTTTTTAAATGAAGACCAAAAGGAATAAGACAAAACGTTGTCATGGTAAAAAGTACTGTTTAGGGGCAGCTAGGTGGTGCAGCAGATAGAGCACCTGCCCTGAAGTCAGGAGGCCCTGAGTTCAAATATGACCTCAGACCAAACATTTGACACTTACTAGCTGTGTGACCTTGGGCAAGTCACTTAACCCCAATTGCCTAAAAAAAAAAGGACTGTCTCTTCAGTCGGAAGACCTGGGTTGAAATCCAAGTTCTTCTGCTTATTTCCTGTATGCCCTTGTACTAGTAGGCCCTTAGCTTTCCCGCTGTAAAATAATGAGGTTGTGCTAGGGGGCCTCTGAGATCTTCTAAAGCTCTAGATCTATCTCTGAGGATCAAAATGAAATAAGTCATCATGCGGCAATAGGAAAAGCCCTGGGTTTAGAATTAGAGGAATTTGTTTCAAATTTAACCTCTGCTACTGACTAAGTGAATGATCTTGGCTGAGTCACTTCACTTTCCTGAGTCTCCTCATATTTAAAATGTGGGGGTGGGTGGGACTACATAGCCTTTGAGCCCCCATCTAGTTCTAGCATCCTATGAAACAGTCTACAGGAAAGTGTTTTGCAAACCTTTAAGGGCTATACACATATAAGCGACTATTGTTACAAACCAGGGAAACCTGATGAATTTCCACTATTGGTGTCACTGAGTGCCACCTGACACTATTCTTGGCCAATACTCAACTGATTTTTTTTAACCACATGTATCTCTTCCTTTCTTACATTTCTTTTCCTTTTTTCTCTTTAGTGCCTAATGAATGCTTAGGGCAGCATAGGAATTAATTGGAAATGTTGCATGCTAGGTCAGTGGGAACTTATGGGAGGAGAGCGACTAGCTAGCTCGAAAAGACACTTTGAGAATCATATCTAACTTGCATTCACTGGAGTTTATGCTTCCTGATCAACAATCATACATCACCTTACTCTCTCACATCCCATCCCCCCTCCCCTTCTTTCTTATTCTTCTCTTTTTCCTTCTCCCCTGCCTGTGGCTTAGACTCACCAGCAAAGCCCACAATCTGCTTCATCCTCGCAGTGGTAGGCTCTCTGGGATAGAGACACTTCTAGGAACTTACAGTCTATCAGCAGTGGCTGTGGCAAATTCTACCCATGGTAACAAACAGTATAGTTATCCCTTCCACGTTGTGACTTTTCCCCATTTTGTGGGGTTTGTTGATGGTTTCGATATATCTTGGGTTAACATAAGAAATTAAATGGGAATTTGTGGGGATTTTTTTGCAAACCGAAGATGACATGAAAAAACCAGCAGATAACAGAGCTTATGACAAAATACTTAACCCAGATTTTACAATAAAATACTGTAAACACCCCATAAAAAAAAAAAGAAAAAAATTCAGACTTCTCTGGTATGAAGGGAGGGCCAAAAATTTTTACACAGATTTTCCACATTGTGTAGGGGCACCACGTCCCTAACTCTCACAATGTGGAAGGGATAATTGTATAGTCAAGTAAGCCAGGCAAACAGATCAAATCGAGAAGGTACATAATTAGCAATAGAGTAACCATCACTAAAATTGTAGTTTCATCTTAGTTTTTCAGCAGGATTAGGGTGTATGTTTGTATTCTGTGGCTGATAGTCAATCTTTACCCTGAAAAAACCAGACTTCAATTTCAAGGTTTCCTTTGTTTACCTCAGAGTCTATAAGACTTCATAGGCTCTTTAGTGCCTCATGAATGCTTAAGGCAGCCCAGGAATTAACTGAAAATTTTGCATGTTAGGATACAGGGAATTCATGGGAGGAGGGGGACTAACTCAGAAAGATACTTTGAGAATTATACTTAACATATATTCACTGGAGTTTATACTCTCCGATCAACAATCATACACTGCTTTTACTTTTAACTACATTCTAAAGTTTATTATAAATTAATTACTTGCCATGACATTATATGATTCTCCATTTCTAAATACTTTACTTGGACTTTGTATTATTCCTTGAATGAAAAGTTCCTCCAGGATGTCTGATGACTTTGGCCTCTCTCGACTCTGGAGGTGTTGGGACGTATCGATTAATCCATTAATCATTAGTTCTTTAAAAATAATAAAGAAGACAAAACAAGCATCAGAGCCCACCTCACAATTAATCACACTACTTCATTTCCTCAGAGCCCTAATACTGTGACCCACAGACTGTTCCGGGCACAGAATAAAACCTGTTATTCTTTGAGCAAGTTCAGGTTCTCAGCGTTCCTACAGAGGGAGGAACCACAAGGAACAGGAAACCCTGTTTATTTGGGAGGCCACTTATTAAGAAGACAAAAAACCATTTCTCTCTGCTGAGCCCGATGAGGCGTTGTCACAACACTCATACCCTTGGGTATGGCTACCTCTGTCGCCTGTCCTCATTATAAAGCCAGAGAGCAGTGAAGAATAAGGAATTCTTTGGGTAACTCTTTGCAGTTGCAGATTGGTTTCTATGCTTTGGATACAAATGATAAACAGTGTGATGTTGCCAAGAGATTTCTGGTTCTGCAACCCTGAGTTTACAATTACACCATCTGCTAAATCTGTATCAGTAGAGCTAGGTCTTCTCTGAAAAGAGTCTTTGGACCATATCAGACTCAGTCATATAACATCAGCCAATCCTTCACAAAAACTATTTTCAAAAATCAATATTGAAATAATTTATAGGAGGGCACCAGTGATAAAGAAACCCCATTGCTAATCACCCAAATATATAAGTAAGCTAATGAGCCTCATTTCTGTATCATGCAAATGAACTTTGCTGGTTTGTTTTGGGCAAATGCATTTCTATTTTGTTGTGTTTTTTCTTCTGTCAGTAACAACACTTTACATTCTCCCCAGAAATATGCTGCCATCTATTCTTAAAAAATAAAGACTTGGAGACAGCTAGACTTAGAGTCAGGAAAACCTGGTTTCGAATCCCATTCAAATCCCTGTCACCGTTTCTGGGTATGTGACCCTGGGATGACCATGTCATCTTTTTGTATCTTAAGCAAATCCCAGGGGACTCTCTATGTATGTAGCTGGGCAGTGATAGGTCCATGTGGGAAGAGGTAATTTGTAATCCCACAGTAGGAGTTCCTTAAGCATACTTAGAAAAAAAAAAAAAAAAAGCTTAATTTCAGTAGAAAACAAGCTCCTTCCATTCCATTGGAGGAATTTCATAGAAATTCTTAACTCTGCAGGCCAGTGTAGATAGGATGAGTGAGTTTTTACTGTGAAATTGTGGAATAAAACCTAACCGGATATCACAGATTTACAGCGTGAAGGGGCCTTAGAATTCACTTAGTCCAAATCCTCTAATTTTGCTTTAGGAAATTGGGGCTGGGGGAGGCCAGAGAAGTTAATTGACTTGTCTATGGTCACATAGGTAGCATGTGGCAGAGCCAGCATTTAAATCCAGGTGCTTGGCTTTCAGATTCAGTGGCCTTTTGTCATTTTCCTTCACTCTAGCATGTGAATATTTTTAAAAATCCACTCCTCTCCTTCAGTAGTGCTTTTCAATATGCCCCTAAGAATATCTACTAAATGCATAATAGCAAATACAATAAGAACTTAATTTCAAAGTATTAAACCAAGGAGTTAGTTGGCTGTTGAGAGAATCAAACCTGAATTTTTTTTCTGTGCTCCTCTTTCTCCAACTGTTACAAGAAGAGGTTCCTAACTAAAGGGACACCTTTATTGCATAAAAGTGAGCATACTCTCATAGAGAGCTTGATCCTTAGAATACAATGATTGAAAAGATGAATAATGACAAAACTGTCCATGAATTCAGTAAAAATTTTAAATGAATAATAACTACATACATTTGAAGCTAAATGAAGATTGAGATGACAAAGCTTGAGGTTTGTGTGAATTAGCAGTTTAGCAGACCCCTTGAAATAGTGTATCAGGGGTGTATAGCCTGGGACTTGCTGGGCCTCCAAGATACCTGCCCCTGGAAGTTTTCTCAGCATTTTGATCTCAACATTTCCCAAAGTGAATTTATGATGTTATCCTCTAAGCCTATTCTTCCTGCTTTATGACAATTTTGTCTATGGAACCACCATTCACCCACGTTTTGAAAGCTTGTTGTTACATGTTCTCCCTCACATTCATCCAGTTAACCAATCCTGTTCATTTTACCTCCTCACTCGATCTTATATCTGTCTCTTTCTCTCTATTTCCACAGATACCACTCCATTATAGACTCTAATTACCATCCCCCTGGGCTATTGCCAATAGCTTTCTAACTTGTCTCACCACCTCCGCTCTCTCTCTCCTCTAAGATTTATTTTATACCACTGCCAGAATAATTCTTAATTCATACAGCTGGTCATTTCACTCCATTGCCCAAAAGTCTTCAGTGGTTCCCAACTGTGTACTGAATAGAGCTCAAACTTCTTTGCCTGGAATTTAATACCCTTCATAATCTGATAACCATCTAACTTTTCTAGGATTATTTAATTTTATTCCCTTCCTTGCACGTTATATTCTAACCAGCTCCCTGTTCTCCAAATTTGAATTGCTATCTCCCTTCTATACCTTTGGTCATACCATTCCTTATGCCTGAAATGTTTCCTTTTTCATCTGTTAAATTATTATTCATACTCAAATCCCACATCCTTCATGAAGTTTTCTTTGACTTACTCATTAGTCATAACTTCCCCCTTTGGACTTTACATAGCACTTTGTTTTATTCCTCTCTAATGCACTTATCATGTAATACCATAAATTATAGTTACGATTATATCTAAGAGAAATGATTATTTCTCTCTTGTATTTAATAAATTATTATTATATTGGGACCACGATTTTTCCCCTTTCTAATTCCTCATCCAGAAATCAACCAGTAGGAGAAATCTTGGGCAATGATTTAGCCAATCTAAGATCTAATCAAAGACAGGAAGAGAAATTCTGAATTAAGACAAATGGGTGGATTCATTCTGTTGATTCAGATACGTCTGGAAAAATGTGGATTCTCCCTTTTGTCAGAGGGTGATATAGAAATTGATAGACCTCTTTGGCCAAGATTTGGGTGCTCAAGACCCTCACTGTGATACTACCTCTCATCATAATATTCATTTACTCATTGTTAACCAGAGTTGATTGCCGCTCTCAGGAACACCTACTTTTCCAAGGACATATAAACTGAGCCCACTGCCATGAGGGGCCTTTGGCATTTGAGAGGGCCATGGACCTCTTTTATTTTATTTTTGTAAGGTTTTTAAAATTAATTAATTAATTTTTAGTTTTCAATATTCACTTCCATAAGATTTTGAGTTCTAAATTTTCTCCCCCTCCTTTTCTTCCCCCCTCCCCAAGATGGCATGTAATCCATCTAGGCTCTACATATACATTCATATTAAACCTATGTTCACATTAGTCATGTTGTAAAGAAGAATTAGAACCAATGGGAGGAACCATGAGAAAGAAAAAAATTTTTTAAAAAGAGAGCAAAGAGTATGCTTTGATCTGCATTCGGAATCCATAGTTCTTTTTCTGCATGTGGATAGCATTTTCCATCATGTGAGCTCTTTTATTAGTAACATTCTAGCATTATTAATAAAAAGGACTAATTACTCAGAAATTATGTCTCTTGAACTTTTTAAACATCACATATCTCATCCTTCAACAAGTCTATAAGTTTCATTAGGATAGTGATTATTTCTTATCTAAATGTTGTTTCTTCTCCAGTGCCTACTGGCTCTATGCTTATACCTTTCCTTTTGATTCACTTTATTTTTAAATGAAAATCTTACATGTAGAGAGAGGTGAACACAACCAAAGTTTAAAGCAACCAACCTCTGTAATGGCTGTTACCAAAAACAAACAAATAAGTAAATAAGTTTACTTGACATTTTAACTGGAAAGTTGCTGGCTAACACTATTATACTCTAAAACCCACAAAGAAGCCAAGTTCAATTTTAATGTTTTGGCAACAAGGAACTCCTCATCTATGGTGTTGCAGTTCCACAAAACAAGGTTCATATCCAACAATGTTGCAGGAGGCAATGCTGTCTGGTGGAGATGAAGATTCTACCTCTGATTTGATCACTTATTGTCTGTGTGACCTTGGACAGGTCACTTAATGATTTAGACCTCAGTGACCTCACTTTTAAAAGGAAGGGGCCACATTAGATGATCTTTTAAGGTCCCTCCCAACTCTAAGTCTTATGATTCTATGACTAGATAACCTCTAAGATCTATTTTCAATATTTTGTTCCTGTGTCCTAGAATCCTTCCTAGTAAGCATCTAGAAGGAAAAGTTCCTCTACTGTTTCATACAGATCCAGTAATGTGGCAGAGCCCGCTCTGACCAACTGTTAAATGTTTAGCCAATTGTTAAATTTTCAGTATGAGCATTTATACCTCAGAAATCGGCAAATAATTGTAAGGAATGATTCATTGGGACCCCTACTCTATTCCAATCAGTATTAATCAGCTTAATATTTTACATAAATCATATAGGGATAATTAGATGAGATAGGTTCTTTTATAGTAGGCCTCAAACTTTAATGTAATGTTCACTACTTGTTTATCAGTTATGAAGCTTACTTGCTCAACCACAAGAATGCTGACAAAGATATCTCCATCCTGTTTTGCTCAAATTCCATGTCCAAACCTAGTGTGGGTGGGATGCCTTGATTCTTTGGAAAGTCCTCCTACTTATTTTTGTATCTCCGGACTACTCTCTCTTGTCCAACATGGGCAGGTGACCATCTTATGATCTTATGATCACTTACTCAGTAGGGATAACCTGTGCTTTGACAACCTATAACCCCCCTGTTCACCCACCATTTTTTGGCCGATACATCATCTTTGGTCCTTAAAAGCAAGGTCTAGCAACCAATGAGATTCTATAGTTTTCCATGCTTCTTTTGCATATTTGAATATTAAACCCTGTAAAACCAAGGTCCTGGGGACCAGGTGCATCTCAGATCATGAAGAAGATCTGAGGTCCACGTCATTACAGGGGGCCATGGACCCTTTAACAAAGCACTGTGGCTTGGAGCTCTACCTCGCTGGATTTTTTTATTTTTGCTGATTGGACAATTTCGGACCCCACATGTTACAAATAAGGGCTTGATTCATTTTTTTTATTGATTGTCTAGACTTAATAAAATAATGAATTAAATGTTAATGATAGAAATAAAACTGAAAAGTGTGATTATATATACATATATACAACACACAAATACCTATACATACACATATCATATATATAGATATAGATATATACACTTATAACTATATGTGTGTATATATTTGTATATACTTGTTGTTAAGCATTTACCAGCATATCCAGGGATGTAACTACTAAGTTATTTTTAAATTTACTCATGTTACATGAATTGACTCAGTCATAGAATCTGAGATCTGGAAGGGATCTAAGAGGTGTACTGTTCCAATTTCAGTTGGATTCTTTACCTGTATTTACTTTTTCATTTTTTTCATCAAGAGATGGTGAATTTTCTAGAATGGTTCCAGGTAAGCTTCCCATTAAGACACCATCTTCCAGTCCAAATTCACTATCCATAGCACTTCTAGACCTTGCTGACCCATCCCAAGGCCCAGCATTTACAGGTATATAAGATTCACCAACATCAACCTGTGAAAAAAAAAAGGAAAAAAGAACTTATTTACGAATGACAGGTTATTTGGAAAATGAAAGCAATGTTTGTGGCTCTATTTTGTGAGCATCTACTCAATTGTTCAATAAATATTCAATGATTGACTTCCATATGCATTGATAATGTAATGAAACAGCAAAGCTTTGTACTGGCCTGCATACTCAAATTATTTATAAATTTAACATTAAACCAATCAAAATGCTAAGCCTTTATGGATCTAGACAAAATAATGGCAAAATTCCTTCAGAAGAGTCAAAGATATGTAGATTGAAGGACTACCATTCAGCCTTGAAGCATTAACAATCCCAAAATCCTTGATTAGAAATGACAAGTATTCAGGCTATGGTAACCCCCTCTGCAGGCAGAAGCTCTATACTGGCTGGTAATTACAAAGAGTTACTCATGTGGCTTTGATCTGCAAAAAGAAAGTGTAACAGGTAATGGAACCTCTAAAATACTGGCTTCTCTTCATGAACTTGAAGGAGAATTGGTGGTGGATGTTATTTGTAATAACTTGTGTACATTAAACCAGTTTCTGTGATGAGGAAGGGGACATGTGTGTACAAAAATATCTATAGCAGCTCTTTTCACAGTAGCCTCAAACTGGAAACAAAGGGAGTACTCACCACCTGGGGAATGGCTAGATGACTTGAGGTATAGGAGTGGAATAGAATATTACTGTAATGTAAGACAGGACAAACCAGACACTCTCAAAGGAAGCTGGGAAGCTCTCTGTGAACTGATGCAGAGTAAACTGAGTGGAACTAGGAGGGAGCAGGCTGACTAGGCCAGGTAAGAAGGTCCATGGGAAGTACAACATTAATGACACGGCTAAGGGACCCAACGAAACTGATTGCCTGGAACAAGATTATACTGAGAGAAGTGGTTATTAATAACCAATAATCTGGGGAGATACAGAGTTCTCCCCTTCTTCTAAAGTCCTGGTTTTTAAAAATAAAATGTTCAGTCTTTTCAAGGACATTACTGATAATGAGATTGAAGTAATTCTCCTCAATCTCAGTCAGACCCCACCCAATTTTACAAGGAATTTAATCTAAGGTAGGGAAGCCCTTTGTGTTCTACTCAGGTTTGGGTGGGATTGAATTCTTTGATTAGGTTGGGGGAGGGGGAGACTGGACTCTCTGTCCAAAGGTAGCAGATGTCACTCTCAGCCTCTCATTTTAATATAGCCCACCTCTCTTCGTGTTAAACAATCAGAATTGATTGCTACTCCTCTTCCAAAAGAACCTATAAGCTCTGAGCCAATGATTGTCTTTGGTCTAAGAGAGAAGGCCAAATGACCATCCTTTTATTAATAACGTGCTGGCCTTATTAATAAAATAATTAAATTACCCAGAACCTATATCTCTCAAACCTTTTAGATTGTCACAGTACTGAAGAAATGCTGCATAGTCTTCAAGGCTTATGCTTCCCTGGGTGACTGTGAGATCCATGATGGAATAAACCTGGAGCTTTTTTTTTTTTAACCAAAAGGGGTAGCAGACTTGCCCACTCTGCAATCCACCCCCACCCCATTGCCATCTCCATTTTTAAAGTCTCACTAATAAAAATCACTTAAATGCTAATGCTCACATATGTACATACACGCACATACTCAATGACAATATTATAGAGAAAAATGACTTTGAAAAACTTTACTGATCAGTGCAATGATAAATAACTCCAGAAGACTGAAGATTAAACATGCCAACTACCTCCTTCAGAGAGAGGATGGGTTTAAAACACAGAACAAGAAATATATTTTTGGACACGGCCCAAGTCAAGCAGAGATTTCTGTGAAGATCCCTGTGAGTCATGGAATAAAGTACAACGTGAGGCACCTCATTTGGGTTCCTTCATAAAACTTAAGCACAGGAGCAAGAATAAAATGGCAGGTCAGTGGCCTTCTCTCTCTCCACATTTGTCTTTCTGTGTTTGCCTGACTCTCTGTCTCTTTTCCCAGTCACCTTCCTTCTTTCCACCCTCCCTAGCCCACAGATATAAATATTGCCAGGGGTGTGTTGGAACCTGCTTGAGCCAGCTCAAACTAGCTTGAGAGACAATTGTTAAATGCTCCATGTGAACATTTATACTTTTAAAAATCGACAAACACTTCAAAGCAGAGCTTGATTTATTGTTTTCTTGATCATCTAGACTTTAAAAAGTGACTTGCCCAGGGTCAAACAGCCAGTGAGTATCTGAGGTCACATTTGAACTCAGGTCTTCCTGGTTCTAGGCCCAGTGCTCTATCCACTACCATCTAGCTGCTTCCAATGTAGATTAATAGAGCAGATTAATTTAAAAGTGTGTCATAGGTACATTTTCCGCTAGAGAGCCAGTTGTTAAACGTTTACCAGTACACCCCTGAAAACTGAATAAGCATTCCCATTGTTTCAAGGAGAAAAGGAGTTGTATGTGTTATAATTTAGAAAAAACAAAATATATTTAGAAAAAACAAAACAAGCAAAAACAGAAGAGAGCCCTTTCTAATGGGGGTGAGGGAGGGGTAGGGTTAATTTTAAAATGAATGGAAACAAGAAAACCAAGTAGCTGTTCATTCCCTGCAGATATCCATAGTAAGAGAAAGATTGTCAATATATCACTGGGGAGCAGGGGTGGAGAGTTGTTCATTAACTTTTCAGACCTATCATTTTGTATACCTAATAAAGCAAAACCTCCCTTAAGAACTAATTAGAAATCATGAAGTTTAGGATTTCTTCTAAGTGTAGAATGAAAAAAAAATCTTAATTGAAAATCAAGACTTAATTAAAAGAACATATTCAAATTGAGAGCAAACTTGAACACTTTAGGGCTAAAAAGCCACATTTCTAAAACATGTCAAAACTACTGCTGAGAACTGACTTTTTCCTTCCTATTATGAAGTAACTCAAAATTACATCATAAATATTAGACATTTATGACATATTCATGTCATAAACTAGAATTCCTAGGACTATAGGTCCATGGGTTCTTATCCAATTTTGCCAGCAAGCATGAACCTTCATTCACCTACTACCTGCCTCTGAGAGGTGTGAAAGGCAACATCGAGTTCTAGCAGATATGGAAATTTCACTTTTGGTTAAGAAAGTTGGAGTGACGTGCAGTTTCCACAGTCAGAAGTCAGGTCTTCCTACTTTCCAACTTGGGATATGGAGAGGATCCCTGAAATGCCTTACCTCCTAACAAAGCATAAAGTAAGAATTAAAACCCTTAAAAAATAATCTATATTTTTAATCTAAGAGGGCTAACATTTTTCAAAGAGTATCCATGGAAGCCTAGTATCCTGAAAGAGGGAGGTGATATTTCACTGATCTCTGCCCTCAACAGACCCTGTCTTAGGAAGGATATTGACAAACAAGGATATATTCAGAAAAGTGAAAATAGGATGGTGACTACTGAATCTCATTGCATATGAAGCTCAGTTGAAAGGACTGGAATTAATTACTCTGGAGAAGAAAAAAAAGCCTGCTTCTCTAGGCTATTTCAAGAGGCTTACCTTCCAGAAATAAGGATGTGATAGTCTCTGTCTTTATCCTGCCCTTTCCAGACTGGTATATTGAGTTTTGCTTGCCACATTTGAGAAAGGACATTGATAAACTGTAGTATTTAAATGGAGGAAATGGTGACAACTTTTCAGCATAAGCAAATCTACTACCTGATTGTCTATTCTTAGAAACTGGAGGTCATCCGGAGCAGGCCAACAAGGATTGTGAAAGACTGGAATTTGTGTCATGCTTTGTTAAATTACTGTTGTGCTTGTTCCATTGTTTTCATTTTCCCAAAGGACCAATGACATCCTGAGTGATGTCTTGACTTGTGTGTGACTTGGATTCAAGTGAGGCAGAGTTGCACAGTCATCAGTCTTACTCTCTCTTCCAGTCATCAAAGTCCAGTAGCAAGACAAAGGTCAAGATGACTGGGAATGGATGGCCCAGGACGCCATGGATGACCTTGGCATCTTCGAAGTTAAGCACTTCACATCCCTGCTCCCTCCCCTACCTCATCTCAGCAGTCCCTAGCAAGAATTTGAAAGGAGGAAAAAGCCACTCAATCAAATAAATCTTTTACTGATTCTCAAGGTGGAGTATCCATTTTTCAGGATAAGCCACCCATACTTTTCATTCCTCTGCCACCTCCATGTAAGGGCAGGTTCTTTTGTGTCAATCACCCCACCTCATTCAAAGTAACAAGATGTTATGCCTTGATACCTTTATTATCAGGTGACATTACCTCTACTGAATTAACCAAAGGCTAACTAGGTGTAAAAAGTCCTTAATACGGAAGTAGTAAAAGTCATCACCGGATAAAACAAAATGACATATGAGAATTGGTTGAAGGAACCAGGGATGTTTAGCATGGAGAGAGAAGATGGAGGGAAAGGTAGAACATGATAGTTGTTTTGAAATATTTAAAGGGATGTCACCCAGAAAAGGGATTTGACTTGGTCTGTTCAGTCTAAAACAGAGGAATGTGAGTAGAAGGTATAAAAAAAGGCAAATTTAAGCTTGATGTCAGGAAAAATTTCCTGACAGAGCCATCCAAAGGTGGAATGGACTGTTTGGAGAGGTGGGAGTTTCCCTCTCTTTGGAGATCTTTAAGAGGAGACCGGATGACCATTTGTCAGATATGTTATAGTGGAGGTGCTTCTTAGGTATGGGTTGGACTAGAGGGTTACACTGATTCTATGACTTGAGTGAGCAGGTGGGCAAAGAAAGGATACCTTTTGTTTAGCTTCATCTTTTGAAGGGCTCTCCCATGGAGGAGGAATTAGACTTAAATTTTTTCCACTTTGCCCCAGAGGGCATGAGTAGAAGAAATGCAGTAGAATGTAAGCTCTTCTGAGCATAGGAGCTATTTCTTTGTCTTTGTCTTTTTAGGGCTTAATACAATGCCTTGTACATCATGTTGTTCAGTCATTTTAGATGTGTCTGACTCTTCATGACCCCATTTGAGGTTTTCTTGGCAAAGATACTGGAGT